CTACTTCCTGTTAACACAGACGCACTGGTTTAGCTCAGTGGTTACTTCGAATCATTTCTCTTGAAGAGGATCCGACTCTCCTCCCGTCCGCGGGATTGAACCCCGGGCGCTGTCCAGTGTTTTATTTTGTTGTCACTAACATTTAATATTTCCTCTGCAGCTGTATTTAAATCATACAATCTGATGTCACAGTGAATGTTGTGAAGAATGCGTGACACTAAAATGCCGTCAGATGTCCAGCTGATCGTGAATCCTCTCGGCCTGCATTCTTTCTTTTTTTATAAAGACGCTTGCAAGATTGAGGTTTTCCGGTTGTAAAATGTCAAAATAAAGCATTTCCAAAATGTTTATATTACAGTAAGTTGTTCAATATATTTAAGAAAATGAGTTTCTTTGTATTGTTCTGTCAGAGCAACCTGCCATTCAAAGGATATCAAAAATCTAAATCAATCTATAGCTTCATATTGCACATATAGATGAGTCAGCTATATTATGGGGAAGTATTTATGCACATACAAGGAATTTTACCCAAATATTATGTACACAAGTACTGGAAAATATAGGTAAATATAATTAGTTTATAAATAGATACAAAAAAGTAGCAATGACCAGCAGTAAAATATGAATTTTATATAATTTATTTCGGGTTTTTGAATCCTTCCGTCAATGATCCGTCAATTAGTGTTCCTGAACGCCCCATCTCCACCAAATAAATGCGACATTATCGACCACAGACTTTGGGTCAGATATCTGTATTTCGTTGCTTGATTAAAATCTATTTTCAGAGAGTTATCACCTGATCTGGAATCAGGATTATTATAATTTCCTGTCGCGCATGCGTACAAGGCGACATCCGACGCTGTGCTCTGTTGACAAATATCAGGGGGCGGGACCACTGCAGCGTAAGTAGATCTTTGTTCATACTGCAGCGTATTCTACGTAATTCAGCACTTTGTGTGTATTTTAGCTCTTTTAATATAATTTGAGATTTGCTTGTATTTGCTTTTGGCGGGAAACTGCGCTCACAAAGTTACCGGAAATTTGGAAAGTGCTTCGTTGAACATCTGTAAAAAGAAAACCGCTGTAATGTAGCAGAGAAAAGGTAGGATCCGGGCCAAGCAGGATAAAATGAGATGTGTGACTTCCGGTGCGGATCAGCAAATTAAAATAATAATAATTACTTTATTTATATAGCACCTTTCAAAGTGCTTTGACAGACAAAGCAGCAAAAGCAAGGAAATAATATCAATAACAGAAAGCTCAGTGAGACAGTCCATACGATACAAATAAACTAATAAATAAATAAATAAAATAATGTGTATATATATATATATATATATATATATATATATATATATATATATATATAGATCTATATATATATATATTTAGTAAAATAATTAAGTAAAATCAACAAATAAAAATAAAACAGAAAAGCGACGACATCACCTAAAAGCCAGTCTTTACAAATGTATTTTAAGAAGTACGTGTTTCATTTTCCTTAAAGATGTTTTGAGTTAAAGCGCACAAAAGTCAATAATCCAGACTGCATGTTTGAATTATATTAATTAAATGTCATAATACTGTTTTTCCATCACACACCAGAACGCCCTCGCAACTCTTTTGTTGTTGTTCGATACGCTCTAAACGTGATGCTTTTATTTTGAAGGCGCACACAGACAGTTTCCGTGGCCACCCGTGGTAACATCCGGATACTTGACTCAGCTCGGCGAAGCCTCACGACTAAAGCGACCAAAACAAGCCGGTTTTCAGACGATCAGGTTCATCTTTGTCGCTGCTCGATGTTGTCGATCAAAGTCTTAAACTCATGAACTTGTTTCTTCAGTCTGAGGCGGTCTCCTCGTGCAAGACTGTCGGCAGACATGAAGAGGTGAGTGGTGACGTCAACGGTAACTGCACGCGCCATTGTCAACTAATACCATTTATTATTTATTATTATTATTTAATTTAACTATAATATGTTTTTAATTTGTGCAGCCAACAGAAAAGCCTTGAACCAGATGAGAGTGTGACTGTCAACGAGGAAGGTAAACATATTATTAATTAATGTCACTATTTTAACTGTGTTATCTAAAGTTATTTAATATGTACCAATTTAATTTAATATTTTACTTCTTTCACAAGTCAAACAGACTGTTTTCAGTCTAGCAGCTGTCTTTTATTTGATATATTTTTAAATATTATTCTTGTATTTTTTTCTTGTTTTATTCTATTTTAG